CGCGCGTGCCTGTGAGCGTGCGCGTGCGTGTGTGCGTGCGCGCGCGCGTCTGGCTCCCTCCCTCCACTGTGTCTTGTCAACCCGGGCCCCTGCGCTCCCCGTTTCCACAGAACGACCTGCAGCAATACCATTGACCTGCCGATGTCCCCCCGCACTTTAGATTCATTGATGCAGTTTGGAAATAATGGTGAAGGTGCTGAGCCCCGTGCCTGTGAGCGTGCGCGTGCGTGTGTGCGTGCGCGCGCGCGTCTGGCTCCCTCCCTCCACTGTGTCTTGTCAACCCGGGCCCCTGCGCTCCCCGTTTCCACAGAACGACCTGCAGCAATACCATTGACCTGCCGATGTCCCCCCGCACTTTAGATTCATTGATGCAGTTTGGAAATAATGGTGAAGGTGCTGAGCCCTCAGCGGGAGGGCAGTTCGGTGAGTGCTCGGCCTCCATGCCCTGGGCGCCATGCTCGCGGGTGCAGAGCCTAGAGTCGCCACCCGCCTGGGAGGAGGAGGTTCTGTTGTTTGTTTGGTTTGGATTTTTGAGACAGGGTCTCCTGTGTAGTCCGGCCTGGGCTTGGACCCACTGTGCAGCCCAGGTTGGCCTCAAACTTGAGATGTGATCCTCCTGCCTCAGCCTCCCGAGGGCAGGGATGACAGGTGTGCACCACCACCCCTAGCTCCAGAGGGGGGTTCTAGAGCCGTGCTCCCCAGTAGCAACAGCAGTAAGGTGTAAGGGTAAATTTCCTGCTAGCTCCATTAAATACAGGGAAAAAAATACTCAATGTGTAAGGAAAAAATGAGGTTTTTTTTTGGTATTGGGGCTCAAATTCGGGACCTTGTACTTGCAAGTCAGGTGTGGTGCCACTGAGCTAAATCCCCGGCCTCCCCTTTTTTTCCCCACAAAGTCTTTGGCACGCGGTAGCCTTCGATACCCACAACATACCTTGCATGGCACCAGGGACACTTCCAGCTCTCGTAGCCCCGGGATCAGGTGGCCTCCGGCAGCACAGACGCAGGCTGAGCCCGGGTGGGGGAGACGCAGGACCCAGTCCTTCCCGGGTGCGAGTGGGAGCTGGAGCCTGGGAGGCAGTGTCGCCGGGCTGGCCTCACACCCACAGCCGTCCTGCCAACGCGGAGGCCTGGCGCTCGGAGCCCAGCAGCTGACCGCGTCCTGCTCTTCCCCAGAGTCCCTCACGTTTGACATGGAGCTGACCCCGGAGTGCGCGACCTCGCCCATGTGAGGAGCCAGGACGCCACCTCCCTGCGGCCAGCGGCCAGACCCCGAGCACCCCCAGCCTTGTGGTTCCACATTCTTTTCACTCTTCTCCTGCTATCTCCGAGCATCTGGCACTTTCTGAAGCAGAGACGCGGGCAGTGTGTCTGGAGCCTGCGGGGCCGGCGGTGGCTGGCGCGGGAGGCGGGAGTCGCTCTTCCTCGTGCCCTCCACGGCTCCTCCGTGCGCCCATGAGCCAATGCCCAGCCGCACCTGCCCTGGACCCCGCCTGGCCAGTCGTGCTGTCTCCATGGGAGCTGTGGCTCCCAGGCCCAGGGGTCCCTCGTGAGCGGCTGCAGCACTTGCCTGTGTCTGAGAAGAGCCGGGGAGCTCCGGCTGTCCTGGGCCGGTGGCGCAGGGGACACTGAGGGGGCCACCTTGGGCTCTGCCCGGAGCTGTCTGCGGCCTTAGTCTCCTGTTTCCCTGCCCGCCTGGCTTCCCAGGTCGCACTTTCGGAGCCCCACCATCCCTCCGGTGGCTCCAAAGTCCCCTTCCTCTCTCGCCAGGTGGACGGAGGCCGCCTGAGGGCCTGGGCAGCGTCACCG